GTTTGCAGTTCAACCCACTGTGCACACATTTCCTTAATTTTTGAAGTAGGCACAATGGATTCCACAACTGGCATAGGCTTCTCAGGGTTAGCCCGAAACTCTTCAAAATCTTTCTTAATTTCCATACTATTCTCACCCTTTTTACCACAGGGTTGGCACTAGAAGCTTTCTTGGGGCCCATGGTGACTTATTTTGCAGAAACAAGCACCAAAAACACTGTGATAATATGGAATGTTCCGAATGTATCCTTAGATGCGAGCACATTGGCTGGCTTGTAAACACTGGCACGCACGGGGCAATTCAAGCCACACGTGGACACATCTCGGACGAATCGCGTATGGCGGGTTTTTTAAAGGGAACCGAGGCTAAATTTTTGCGTTAAAATGTATTGAATACCGGATTTATCGGATACCAATGCTAACGCAAACCGGGGATCCACTGTACTTGAGATAAGCCAGCAGATATATATTTTTCTAGTTACTCAAAGGAAGGCTTTGACTACAGTGGACCCTCGGTTATCGGCCATTCCTGTTATCGGTCAACTCGGTGATCGGCCATTTGGGACACATCCGGCCGCTGGCTGGGGCCACTTGTGTATCAGTTTGGCTGTCTCTCTTGGTGTGTGAGGAAGCTTCTGCTCATACATCCAAACATTTCGCTTGTTTTCCATAGTTTTTTGTGGATTTTTTGCAATAAGAACCATGGCTCCAAAGGAAGTTCATGTGGTAAGGAAAGTGAGAAACACCATAGAATTTAAGCATAAAGTGTAGCAGGCATGCAGGGAGTGTAACAAGCATGCAGGGAGTGTAGCAGGCATTCAGGGAGTGTAACAAGCATGCAGGGAGTGTAGCAGGCATGCAGGAAGTGTAGCAGGCATTCATGGAGTGTAACAAGCATACAGGAAGTGTAGCAGGCATCCAGGGAGTGTAACAGGCATGCAGGGAGTGTAACAGGCATGCAGGGAGTGTAACAGGCATGCAGGGAGTGTAACAGGCATGCAGGGAGTGTAGCAGGCATCCAGGGAGTGTAACAGGCATGCAGGGAGTGTAACAGACATGCAGGGAGTGTAGCAGGCATTCAGGGAGTGTAACAGGCATGCAGGGAGTGTAGTAGGCATTCAGGGAGTGTGACAAGCATGCAGCGAGTGTAACAGGCATGCAGGGAGTGTAGTAGGCATTCAGGGAGTGTGACAGGCATGCAGGGAGTGTAGTAGGCATGCAGGGAGTGTAGCAGGCATGCAGGGAGTGTAGCAGGCATGCAGGGAGTGTAGCAGGCATGCAGGGAGTGTAGCAGGCATGAAGGAAGTGTAGCAGGCATGCAGGGAGTGTAGCAGGCATGCAGGAAGTGTAGCTGGCATTCAGGGATTGTAACAAGCATGCAGGGAGTGTAGCAGGCATGCAGGAAGTGTAGCAGGCATGCAGGAAGTGTAGCAGGCATGAAGGAAGTGTAGCACGCATGCAGGGAGTGTAGCAGGCATGCAGGGTGTGTAGCAGGCATGCAGGGAGTGTAGCAGGCATGCAGGGAGTGTAGCAGGCATGAAGGAAGTGTAGCAGGCATGCAGGGAGTGTAGCAGGCATGCAGCAAGTGTAGCAGGCATTCAGGGAGTGTAGCAAGCATGCAGGGAGTGTAGCAGGCATGAAGGAAGTGTAGCAGGCATGAAGGAAGTGTAGCAGCATGCAGGAGGTAGCAGGCTGCGGAAGTGTAGCAGGCATGCAGGGAGTGTAGCAGGCATGCAGGAAGTGTAGCAGGCATGCAGGAAGTGTAGCAGGCATGCAGGAAGTGTAGCAGGCATGCAGGAAGTGTAGCAAGCATGCAGGGAGTGTAGCAGGCATGAAGGAAGTGTAGCAGGCATGCAGGAAGTGTAGCAGGCATGCAGGGAGTGTAGCAGGCATGCAGGGAGTGTAGCAGGCATGCAGGGAGTGTAGCAGGCATGCAGGAAGTGTAGCAGGCATGCAGGGTGTATAGCAGGCATGCAGGGAGTGTAGCAAGCATGCAGGAAGTGTAGCAGGCATACAGGAAGTGTAGCAGGCATGCAGGGAGTGTAGCAGGCATGCAGGAAGTGTAGCAGGCATGCAGGAAGTGTAGCAGGCATGCAGGGAGTGTAGCAGGCATGCAGGAAGTGTAGCAGGCATGCAGGAAGTGTAGCAGGCATGCAGGAAGTGTAGCAGGCATGCAGGAAGTGTAGCAAGCATGCAGGAAGTGTAGCAGGCATGCAGGAAGTGTAGCAGGCATGCAGGAAGTGTAGCAGGCATGCAGGAAGTGTAGCAGGCATGCAGGGAGTGTAGCAGGCATGCAGGAAGTGTAGCAGGCATGCAGGAAGTGTAGCAGGCATGCAGGGAGTGTAGCAGGCATGCAGGAAGTGTAGCAGGCATGCAGGAAGTGTAGCAAGCATGCAGGAAGTGTAGCAGGCATGCAGGAAGTGTAGCAGGCATGCAGGGAGTGTAGCAGGCATGCAGGGAGTGTAGCAGGCATGCAGGAAGTGTAGCAGGCATGCAGGAAGTGTAGCAGGCATGCAGGAAGTGTAGCAGGCATGCAGGAAGTGTAGCAGGCATGCAGGGAGTGTAGCAGGCATGCAGGAAGTGTAGCAGGCATGCAGGAAGTGTAGCAGGCATGCAGGAAGTGTAGCAGGCATGCAGGAAGTGTAGCAGGCATGCAGGAAGTGTAGCAGGCATGCAGGAAGTGAGCATTAGTCTTCAATAAAGGTATGTATGTAATACTGATTTAACTGTTAAAATTTTTTTTTTTTTTTGTGAACATTTTTGTTTGGAACGGATTATTTGTATTTACATTAATTCTTATGGGAAGTAATATTTCGGTTTTTGGCCATTTTGGTTTTATGCCAAGCTTCTGGAATGGATTACAGCCGATAACGGAGGGTCCACTGTACTTTTGACATATTCAGGCCTAAATATCAAGTAAAGGCAGTAATATAAAACCACTATTTTAAAGAACACCATGTTAATGGCCTCTTCAGCTGAAGAATCATGTAGCTTGTGGTAATGATAATGGTTTTGTCATGTAACAGAACACACCAGAAAAAATTGCAACAATCTTACTAAAATTGCAGCAATCTTGTTAAATTCAAAACTAAGTTAAAGCATTGATATGTGCCTAGGCACTGTAGTTTAATCATTTACCTCATCTCTGTTGGTAATTACCTTTTTTTTTTTTTATCCATAAGAGCACAGATGCTACAGTATATTGTACTGCACTTACTTAAAATAGTCATTGTATCTAGAATCTGAGTTATTGTATTGCTTGTCACCTGATGTTATAAAAAAAAATGTACCCAGGAGCTTTAACCAAACTAGTTTTTCCTATTGTTATGTACCATGCTGTGTTTTTGTTATCTACTTGCATATACATTTGTATAATACCGTATTCAGTAAATTAATTTTATTATGTATTTTTTTTTTCAACACATTAGTCATCTCCCACCAAGGCAGGATGACCCAAAAAGAAAGAAAACCCCAAAAAGAAAGAAAAAACTTTCGTCATCATTTAACACTTTCACCATCACTCATACATAATCACTGTCTTTGCAGAGGCACTCAGATCGGACACTTTAGATGTCCCTCTAAACTGCCAATATTATAAACCCCTTCCTTAAAGTGCAGGCATTGTACGTACTTCCCATTTCCAGGACTCCGGCTAACCAGTTTCCCTGAATCCCTTCACAAAATATTACCATGCTCACACTCCAACAGTTCGTCGGGTCCCAAAAACCATTTGTCTCCATTCACTCCTATCTAACACGCTCGCGCACGCTTGCTGGAAGTCCAGGCCCTTTGCCCACAAAACCTCCTGTTCCCCCCTCCCTCCAACCTTTTTGTTGATGACCCCTACCCTTCCTTCCTTTCCCTAAAGATTTATATGCTCTCCAAGTCATTCTATTGTGTATATCTTTAATATAAGCATGTATGTAAAATTTTTTTGTACTTTTAATTTTAAGTTAGATTTAAATTGGCCTGAAATGCTCTGCATAACCAGAGGCTTTTCCATGTCCAGTATTAAATGTCACCCATTTTTTGTACAAACTATGTATCGTGTGGAAATGAGGAATTTGAATTTGGTTTTCTGTCACTTATTCTCATGTCATTGTGAAATTATCAATTTCATTCGTACATTGTAATTGAAGGTGGCTATTCAGTTATGCTACTCCCTGAACAGTATATACAAGCTCTGAGCTTGTGTGAACCTCTAAAGATTAGTGAGAGGAAATCCCACATGAGACTTTTCACATGGTATTTCCAACTGAGATCCCTCTCAGCAGAAGAGGACCTCAACTGAGCAGTCATATTATACAGACTACCATTCTTACATGTTTTTGTCTAATGGGGTTTCCTCTCTCATTGATCATGGTGTTCATTACACATTGTTCCACCAACATCTAATGATGAAGTTTGCTGTTCTTTGCTAGATGAGGTTACATCGATTTTTCTTCAACACCTTTTTGCACACTTACCATGTGACTGAAATGCAAATTCAGGTGTTACAGAATTAGTAGATGAAGTATGGTTTGCAGCAATGTTGAACATGATTATTAGTTGCAGCTTATCACCTGAGGTTTCATTATTGGAAGCTTATCAATTGAGATTTTATTATTAGAGGCTTGATTTTGAAATCTCAATCTTAGCAGTACAAGGATTTTTCTCAATACATTCTAGCACTGGGTAAATAATATTCATATAATAATACTGTAGTAATAGAAATAATACTGTACAGTAATAATTATAATGGTTGGGAGCAAGGGGCTAGTCACCCCTTCTTCTGTATAAATTACTAAATGTAAAAAGAAGAAAAACTTTGTTTCTTTTTTTTTGAGTCTGGCTCACTGGGAGACAATAATAATGATTATAATAATGCATAATAATAGTAATAATAATAATAATATAATAAAGGTAATATATGGCATGATATATTAATAATGATAATAATGCATAATAATGGTAATAATAATAATAATATAATAAGGGTAATACGTGGCATTCTTTTAACAGGAAGCCAGTTTTCGTAAAGCCGTTAATGATGAAGAAGTTCCAGTTAAAACAAAGCACGTGCGAAATCTCATCATTGGCACATTCACTGACAAGAATACCGACCTCTTCTGGAGGAACGTTGCAGTGTGTCCTCCAATTAGCACAGATGTTACTGGCTGGAAATTCTGCCATTGCCTTCATGTTGTCTTACGTGATGGACACCCAAATGTGCTTCGGGATTCTCAACGCCATATTAATCGGATCAAAGACACAGGACAGCATTTCGTAAGTACAGTTTAGTTTTGTATTGTACTACCCATCAACTGTAGCATACTGAAGAGATCTAAAAAGTCTCTCTCAACATTCACGAGGGTTAGGGGATAAAGAACCTCGCAAATATTGAAAAATCGCGAATGTTTGGTGCCCCAATATATTGTAGGGAAATATAATGCAATACTGCTTCCTTAACCTATTGAACCATGAACAATCATAAAGTGCATGAAAACATCGTAAAATATTGTAGTAGTGCCAGCCCTTTGGTAAAGAAGGTGAGAAAAACTATAGAATTCAAGAAAGAACTCATAGCAGAGTACCAAAGTAGAGGAGGAAGAGAGAGGAGAGAATGTGCCTTCTTCAGTGATTCTACTATATGTATGATACTAAAGCAGCATAAGTTGATAAGGGCTATAGAGCCAGCCAGCAATAAAGTGTAGCATTAACAGTGTAGCAAATAAGTTAAGTGATTAATCGATAGAAAAAGAACAGCATGAACCTAATTCCTCCACTCTTGTTGGAGTTATACAGGGCGACTGACAACACCGCCGTCTCTAGTCTCTGCTGCCTTTGATGCCGCCTCCACCACCACTAAGGCTTATGTCTCAGTGGCCCGTATACACCCAACAACAACAACAACACAGCAACACTCGTGACATAATGATGGTCACCTACCATCCGACTTACGACCTGCTCGACATACGACCACTCGATTTACGACCGTGTTTTGCATGCCAAATTTCTGGGAAATAAACAGCTGTTTGTAATGCACACAGTGTTTATCCTAAGCCTTACAGTATAAACCACATTACTAACAGCATAAAAAGTAATGTAAAAAATGAAATACCAGAATAAAACAATAAAATCAAGTCATTACAAAAATGTGATGTTGATATTCAGTAGTATGGTTTGACTTACGTCCATTTTGACTTACGACCAGTTGGTCGGAACCAAGCTCAGTTGTAAGTCGGATGGTAGGTGTATTTTATTCATTCTAGAGTATTTGTCATGTTTCTATGTTATTAATATTGTTTATTATGTCAGATGAGTTATGATAGATAAATAAACCATAGAGTTAATATTAGTGTCATATTGAAGGACTATCTTGTCCTATCTCCAAACAAACTCTGCCACTGCCACAATTCCTAAGATATGTAATGACATATTTTAAATATGATTGGGCGCTGGGAATCTGCGAATGTTCGAAGACTGCAAAAGTGGAAAACGCGAATGTTGAGGGAGACCTGTATGTATTTGGTTGTTGCAGTTGGTGTATCATTGTCATTTTTTGCTAAACCTTCGTGAAGAAAAAGTAAATGAAATTGAAATTATTTTTGCTATTTAATTGTATATAAAGTTAATCACACACTATTATAGTTTTTTCTTGCTGATATTTTGAGAAGGGTAAATTAATTATACCAAAACGTACCAACTTTCTTTTACCAGAGGCACCTTGAGCATGGTTATGGACGACTGATTAATCGATACTGTGAATTACTGATTGCAAAGTTAAAGTTCCATCAACATTATCCTCGATTTCCGGGTTCATTGTCTGTGACACCAGAAGAATTGGAAGCCCTGGCAGAAAATGATGCCAATAATTAGTAAGTTATTTACGTTGCATCATACCTATATCTCTGATGCTTTAATGGTAGATGAAGAATTTTGTGTATGTCTTGCACAAAATTCTTCATTTACCATTTATGTCACTATACACTGACTCATTGTTAGTTATTTTCCAGGATAATATTTATGAAGGGATTCAGGAAAGCTGGCTTTGAAGGATTTGAGTTCTGGAGGGATGGAGTACAGAGACTCTATTATGAAGAATAGATGGGAAAGTAGCAGTTTTGAGAGGGTCATTTGAATTGTGTTGTGTGTGAGCTTCTGGAATAAAAGTGAGAGAATGAGTGATAGCAATTCTTGTTTTACTATAATATCTGTGCATGTTATAATAAACAGGTAAAATTTTTGCATATGGCCCCCACCCACAAGGATGGGAATATCACAGGTAGCAAGGCATCAGAGATACAGCATAGATAAATAGTCAATAAAAGCTTAAATTAAGCAGTGAACGGTTGAGCAGTTTGCTCAGCAGGTGATACGTTGTGTATCTAGTAACAGATTGAGTTCAGGATCTTTAATTTTTTCATTCAACTTAAGCTTAAGCCTAGGGTAAAAAGTCATCTACCATCAGTTCTAATTTAAAATAAGAGGTTCTTCTTTCAACAAACCAGCCATATCCCACTGAGGCAAAATAAGAGATTATATACATGTATTCTAAACAGTGAGCCACTGGATTAGTTTTTGCAACAATTTTGATATCTTGTATATAGCAGTATGACTTATCTTGGCCTACACAATTGACTTGTCACAAAATAAATATTAGTGGTCTGCCCTGCTTACACAGCTCATGTGTCCAAGCTAGTATTGTCTTGGTCTAGGGTCATACCATACCTCTTAAGGAAATCTTATGGGGGTTTTAAGCATCTTAAGATATGAGCAGGAAAGGAAATAAAAGCTTCTAATAATAAAATGTATTAACTATGGAAAATCAAATACTGTACTATAATCATAGTAATGCTGGTGGTGGTGAAACTTTAACATGATTTACAGCAGTTTGTACAAATGGTTATAGAATCATAAAACTGTTCTTTGTACTTCAAAAGAAGTTATGTCTGTTAAAATAGTGTATATACAACATGCTCCAGGGTCATTTAAATTATGATGTCCATGCACATTTGGCAGTAGTTGATGAATGAACAGTTTTTTTTTTCATTTAGGTCTCCATTAATGGGAAATAGCTATTGTAATAAAAAAAACTTTTCCAGGTACATAAATATCCTTACCAGGCAGCTCCAGTGCATACTGCTAGCACCCACATCCTTGAAAGGGCATGCAGCACAGTAGGCACCTGCGGGCCCACACTACAACAGATTTACAGGTTGCAGTATACACTGCACAGTTTAATTACCTGGATTGGCAACATTTTTGGGCTTATAAATCAGTGCATAATCTTATCACTACCCCACCTAGTCCTAAACCACCATACCTTCAAAAAAGAAAACTGTTGAGCACTACTCACAGATTTTGACTCTGCCACACAAAGTTTATGGTTGAAGTAGGAATGCCCATCATCCCCAAAATCCATGTTTAAGGCAGATTTATCATTCCTATATTTAGCTGCACTAGAGGCTTATTCTGTACTTTGTACTACAGGAAGTCCTCGCTTAACCCTTTCAGGGTCCGCTCCGTAGAGCTATGGCTTTTGAAGCCAGGGTCCAAGCCGTTGATCTACGCCATGAGCTCAGCTCACTCAGATTTGCGAGTGGTAAATTTGGGCCTAGATATGAGAGAATACATCTATGTGGTAAGTGTGTACCACATAAAACAAATCCTGCAGCACACAGTGCATAATGAGAGAGAAAACTGACTATAATTTTGGATTAAAACAGTGACTTTCCAGAGTTTTTTTGTATGTTTCTTACAGTTGTATTTGCGATTTCTTCGTCTCATTTGATAGAATGGAAGATATATTATGGAAATAGAGATGATTTTGATTGGTTTTAGTGCTGAAAATGGCTTGAAACTGAGCTCAACAAATGATGTCACACATCTAATGTGCATTAGGTGGTGGATCTGATATACTTTCACAAATGTACTGATATTATTTATACAGTTATTACAATATTGCATAACAGTAAATCTCCTATTTTTTTGGTGTGAATAAAAATTCATTATGTGAATAAAAAATAAAAATGGAATTCAGTAAAGCCTGAAAATGTAACTAATGAACAGAGGAAATGTTAGTTTAGTGCCAGGAATGCCTGCATTGTTTATTCTGGACCCTATTTTGAAACTGGAATATTTTGAACTGTGTGTTAAATTCGCCAAATTACCAATTTCCGATCACTTTATTAGGTAGTTGAAACAGTTGACTGGGCAATTTCTTGTACTTGCTCGATAAAATAGAAGTAGAGTGGACCCCCGACATTCGATATTAATCCATTCCTGAGAGCCATTGAATGTCGAAAATATATAAAGTTGAATTAATTTTCCCCATAAGAAATAATGGAAATCAAATTAATCCGTGCAAGACACCCAAAAGTATGAAAAAAAATTTTTAACACATGAAATATTAAGTTTAATGCAATAGAATAATTACAATAACAATAGATTAATAACAATAGAATAATTGACACTTACCTTTAATGAAGATCTGGTGGTGATTGATGGGATGGGAGGAGGGAAGAGTGTGGATGGTATTAGTGTTTAGAAGGGGAATTTTCTTCCATTAGGACTTGAACTGGCAGCCTCACCATGCCTTACCACACTGTGTATGCCAGTACGCTTCTTAAATCTTTCAAACCAACCTTTGCTGGCCTTAAATTCACTCACATTACCACTAGTTGCAGGCAATTTCTTTACCAAATCATCATGCACTCCGACACACGCACTCCACTTTCGTACTTTGCAATTATCGCTTTCTTCATTTCAATAGTCATTAGCACCTTTTTTCTCGAAGGGTTGGCACTAGAAGCTTTCTTGGGGCCCATGGTTACTTACTTTGTAGAAACAAGCACCAAAAACAGTGATAATATGGATAATATGGAATGTACCGAATGTATCCTTAGATGCGCACACACTGGCTGGCTTGTAAACACTGGCACACATGGGGCAGTTCAGGCCACACGTGGACATGTCTCGTACGAATCGTGTCGAATGTCGGGTTTTCCATCGAATGTCGAGGAGAAATTTTTGCGTTAAAATGCATCTTATGTCGGATTTATCAAATGCCGATGCCATCGAATGTCGGGGGTCCACTGTACAGTGGTACCCCGAGTTTCGTACAGCTCCCAACTCGAACAGTTATGTAAGTGTATTATTGTAAGTGCTTTTGTAAGTGTATTTTGGGGGGGGGGGTCTGAAACGGACTAATCTAATTTACATTATTCCTTGTGGGAACAAATTCGTTCAGTAACGGCACTCGAACAGCCTTCTGGAATGAATTATGGCAGAAACTCGTGGTACCACTGTAATACTAGTGAAACAGCTAAGAATTTGGGCGGCTGGAATAACGTAATCGGCCTAAAATGGGAGTCAAAGTTGGCAAAATCGCCAATGCGTAAATATCACTGACGCATCAAAATTCACGAGAGTGTAATTTTGTCAATTTTCCATCAAATTTCGTACTTTTTATTTTATTACCTTCAGAAAAAGATTCTCTACCATTTCATAAGAAAAATATAAATTCTTTTTTGAAAATTCTTGGACCCTGGCTGTCACTCTGTGATTTGACCTCTGGACCCTCCAACTGTTAATATCATTGATAGGTTCTTGGAAACTGACTTTAAGCGAAATGACATATAACAAAACCAATTTTACCATAGGCTAATTGATATAAACAAGAGTTAAGTTGCTACAGCAAGGGAGAGCTGAGAGGGAGGGCAGTGGTGCTACAGATGCCATGACTATGGGGTGCTATAGAGTCATATATTTACTCTATTATTGACATTTTTATTATTTTAGGTGTCTCATGTTTTTCAGAATTACAAAAGAAACACACTACATATCATAAAATCCAAATACAAACAGCCATAAGGGAGGAAATTGACATAAGCCAACATGGAGAGTTATACCAAAGCATGTCCTCCATCCATATTTTTCATTCCTAGCTGGGAATCTGTTTCTTTTTCTCATCGTTGTTATAACGAAACAGCATTTAGTGAGGACTTCCTGTATTCCTTTTGCATGTATTGAGGTAGAAGGGGCTGGGCTTATGGAATATATTATGTACCTTTCTCAGATCACATAGCAACTGAAATACATCACTACCATACACAATAATATGGCAGCATGTCCTAAAATACTAGCTCTGTAATAATTGTTAGCAGCAAGCCCACAAGCATACACACCCTTGAAGCAAGATTATTTTCACTATCTGTCCTCACTCAGGGTCCTTATGAAATATTTTCAGCCTGTACAGTGTTCCTGTCACTTTTTTTCTTTTTTACATAGCTCATTCTCATTGTTGGGTGGCAGCTTTAATTAGAAAGTGAACTCTTCTGGTTGATGGAGTTGAAGACATTTCTTACGTAGCTGCTGGTGCTCTTATTGAGTCAACTATTGACAAAAAAAAAAAAAAGGAAATTAGGGACCTTATCTACTTGATGAATAGGGAAAAATTGGTTTTATTACAGCATCATACATTATCTTATTGAGCTTGCCCTTAATTACCTCATGTTTACCTCTTGTGGTGTGTTGGTAAAGTATTGCACGGACTTTAGCAGAAGTGGTTGAGGTTGTGAAGGACAGTTGATGAACTACCTGGACAGAGAACCTTTTATCTGGCAACTGGCATGTCAGTGACATATTTTTGGAGTGATGACAGAACATCATTTTAAGTTACTTTTTAGTCTAGTTAACTTTGCATTGACATCAGTTACTCTAAGTTTCCACATACTTTGTGGCTAGGTTTGGTGTGGTGTAAAGGGATGTTAGAATGGATAGATTAAGAAGTTTTTCTAACATATGGTTTGTTCAGAATTATTAGTATTGTATGTTCAGTTGATTCATTATTATTTTTGTGAGTGTAATACTCTGAGGCCTCACATTATCACTAGCACTTGTATATTTTTTTAAACATGCTATGTTTTTATGTCAGTACTACACATTTTTCAAAACTGTACTACTATATTCTTTACAGTTTTGAGTTGGCAGTTGAAATGTTGGAGTACATGGAATGCATCTTAAATCTGTATGAAGCAGGTATGTTTATTTGAACATAAAATTTATTTCAACACTGAAACTAAACCCACCTTAAGTTTGAAATTATATTCAACATAAAAATAATTTGTATTAATTCTTTATGCTGTTCATACATGATTTATAACAGCTACTCAAAAAGAGTGCATTATTTCCATGCCCTTTTATATGTACACGTTTATATATATATATATACAGTGGACCCCCGCATAACGATATTATTTCAATCCAGAAGTCTGTTTGGGTGCCGTTATAGACCGAATTTGTTCCCATAAGAAATATTGTGAATTAGATTAGTCCTTTTCAGACCCCTAAAAATACACCTACAAAAGCACTTACAAAAATAAACTTACATAATTGGTCGAGTTGGGAGCTGATCGTTATCCGGGGGTCCACTGTATATATATATATATTTTTTTTTTTTTTTTTTTTCAACAAGTTGGTCGTCTCCCACCGAGGCAGGGTGACCCAAAAAAGAAAGAAAATCCCCAAAAAGAAAATACTTTCATCATCATTCAACACTTTCACCACACTCACACATTATCACTGTTTTTGCAGAGGTGCTCAGAATACAACAGTTTAGAAGCATATACGTATAAAGATACACAACATATCCCTCCAAACTGCCAATATATATATATATATATATATATATATATATATATATATATATATATATATATATATATATATATATATATATATATATATATACACACACAGTGGACCCCCGCATAACGATTACCTCCGAATGCGACCAATTATGTAAGTGTATTTATGTAAGTGCGTTTGTACGTGTATGTTTGGGGGTCTGAAATGGACTAATCTACTTCACAATATTTCTTATGGGAACAAATTCGGTCAGTACTGGCACCTGAATATACTTCTGGAGTGAAAAAATATCGTTAACCGGGGGTCCACTGTATATATATATATATATATAGTAAAGTGGGTAAAAATGTTGTGGAGGGAGTAGTAGGTAAATTTGGGGTGCCAGGGGTAAATGTAAATGGGGAGCCTTTATAGATGGGGTTGTAAGAGAAGTAAATGCGAGGGTCTTGGCAAGAGGCGTGGAGTTAAAAGATAAAGAATCACACATAAAGTGGGAGTTGTCACAGTTGCTCTTTGCTGATGACACTGTGCTCTTGGGAGATTCTTAAGAGAAGTTGCAGAGGTTGGTGGATGAATTTGGTAGGGTATGCAAAAGAGGAAAATTAAAAGTGAATACAGGAAAGAGTAAGGTTATGAGGATAACAAAAAGATTAGGTGATGAAAGATTGGATATCAGATTGGGGGGAGAGAGTATGGAGGAGGTGAATGTATTCAGGTATTTGGGAGTGGACGTGTCAGCAGAAGGGTCTATGTAAGATGAGGTGAATCATAGAATTGATGAGGGGTTGGATTTGAGTGGGACTTGTACATCATAGCTTATTTCTTGGGTAGCATTGAAAACTGGGTTGGGCAAATGTTTTGTTAGTGGGGTGAATTGTAAAGGACCTGCCTAGTATGGGCCAACAGGCCTGCTGCAGTGTTCCTCCTTTCTTATGTTCATATATATATATATATATATATATATATATATATATATATATATATATATATATATATATAATATAATATAGAATAAACATATTTATACTTTTAATTTATAATATATAATGAATATAGTTATTTTGTATTTTATTATCACATGGCCGATTCCCACCAGGCAGGGTGGCCCGAAAAAGAAAAACTTTCAACCATTCATTCATACATATATAGTTTGAAGAAGGGTGCTTTAACATACTATTTTTAAACTTGCAATCATTAACACCCCTGCCTTCAGCGCAAGCAGCGTGGACTTCCAGATTCAGGACTCAATACTGCCTGCCGTTTCCCTGAATCCTTCATAAATGTTTTAACTAAATTACTCACACTCCAATGCACGTCACAGTATTAAAACCATTCTCAGTCTCCATTCACTCCTTCTCAAACACGCTTCACGTATGTCCTGTCTGGAAGTCCAAGCCCCGCACATTAAAACCTTCCTTACCCCCTCCCTCCAACCTTCTAGCCGACCCCTCGCCCACCTTCCTTCACTACAGCACTCATACCTCCTTAAGTCATACCTGTCGCTCCATTCTCTCTACAGTCTGAACCACCTCTAACACGCCCTTCCCTACAGCCCCTAAACTTGGACAACAGTTTTTGGTAATCCCGCACCTCCTCCTAACTTCCAAACTACGAATTCTCTGCATTATATTCACACCACACATTGCCCTCAGACATGACATCTCCACTGCCTCCAGCCTTCTCCTCGCTGCAACATTCATCACCCACGCTTCACACCCATATAAGAGCGTTGGTAAAACTATACTCTCATACATTCCCCTCTTTGCCTCCAAGGACAAAGTTCTTTGTCTCCACAGACTCCTAAGTGCACCACTCACTCTTTTTCCCTCATAAATTCTATGATTCACCTCATCTTTCATAGACCCATCCGCTGACACGTCCACTCCCAAATATCTGAATACGTTCACCTCCTCCATACTCTCTCCCTCCAATCTGATATCCAATCTTTCATCACCTAATCTTTTTGTTATCCTAATAACCTTACTCTTTCCTGTATTCACCTTTAATTTTCTTCTTTTGCACACCCTACCAAATTCATCCACCAATCTCTGCAACTTCTCTTCAGAATCTCCCAAGAGCACAGTGTCATCAGCATAGAGCAGCTGTGACAACTCCCACTTTGTGTGTGATTCTTTATCTTTTAACTCCACGCCTCTTGCCAAGACCCTCGCATTTACTTCTCTTACAACCCCATCTATAAATATATTAAACAACCACGGTGACATCACACATCCTTGTCTAAGGCCTACTTTTACTGGGAAAAAATTTCCCTCTTTCCTACATACTCTAACTTGAGCCTCACTATCCTCGTAAAAACTCTTCACTGCTTTCAGTAACCTACCTCCTACACCATACACTTGCAACATCTGCC